TTTTCAAACATTGCTTCATCTTGTCTGCAAAATTCAGTTTAACTTCTATTATGTTGCAGACAAGATGAAGCTATGTTTGAAAAAATGTAAAAATGTGTCTCAAACAATACAGTCTACATGAGACAGGTGTTGAGTGGGGAAGCAATCATGATGCTCATAACCACATCAACGACAAAGTCCAATTAATTGAAGCAATAATAAGAAAATTGTGATAATATCAAGGTACAAGTTCAGAGCAGCAAAGATGTACTCTTCTGGATTGATGCTGTATTTGTGCTTTCCGCCCAGTATGAGCTGCGTGTCCATCACCAGGTACTAAGAATGGAAAATGAAAGTGAGAGACAGTAAGATAAGAACAGTAAATTGGAACTATTAAGCACAATAAAAGATTGCTGGCAGACCATTATATTAATACTATGCCAGCCTAATAGTACAAGTACTACAGTGTATCAAGAAGCCCTCCTAGATAAGGATTATGCATATCAATTTCGACAAAGCTACATTGGATAAAGCATGACTATAAGAAAGATGTGTTCTTACCACAGAGAAGATCAAAGTTCCCAGTGATGCGTAAAGGATGTACAGATACTTTGGAACATAAAAGTTAAGATTAATTAATATAAATAAGTAAGCATTTTTAATAGGAGGAAGAAATATTAGTTGATGATTTACCTGTGATCTCAGAATTGCACAGAGTAATGCAAATGAAAACAGCGTCCAGCATAATACCCATATGCTCCCTGACAGAGTTGTGAAGTCCCACTAAAAACAAGCATGGGCATGTTTACTACTTTATAACTAAAATTTTGTTAATACAATACATACAGCCAATTTTGTAACTTACTTTAGACTGCAGTGAAAACAAACTCATTGCAAGAGACACCAAAGCAGTTGCACCCACTGCCCAGAGCACTGCCTCTGCTGAATAGTACCTGAATAATAATAACAATTCCTTACTATAACACTGGCTGTGTTACTACAGTTTTTGAATAATTGAAGAGCAAGTTTTTGAGTAATTGAAATGCATTTACTGCATTTTAATGATGTTTTTTACTCACACTACCACTGATCCAAGGAGAAAGCCTTCTGTGATTGTCTGTGTGGGAAAACAGCACTTAACATTTACAAAAGTTTCACATTTAATGCTCACCACAATTAAATACAGCTGCTCTGTATTTTACTTACAAACAGCACTAAGAAGATGAAGTTTAAGGGAACTTTGCGACGTATGTCACCACAACAGATGAGCACAATGATTAGAACAAATGTTGCACACCTTGTGAATTTTGAACAAACACAAGAATTCAGTGTAAAATGTATGGACGCAATACATGCATATTATTTAAGACATGCAGAACAAAGGAGAAGTGCTCACATCATAGTGTAGGTAAACCAGTATGTGTCTCTCACCCAATCCTTGAGTGTCTCCCTATAGGAAAAGGGCATAAATGTCAGCATTAATAATATACTGTACACACATTACTGTTCAAAAGTTTGAGGTTGTAATATTTTTTTATGTTTCCCAAAGAAGTCTCTAATGCTTGATGTTTTTATTTGATAAAAAATACAGTAAATACAGTAATATTGTGAAATATTATTACAATCTAAAAATAATATATAAACTGACGTAAAATAAAGACGAGTATACAAGCTCAAGCCTATGAAGTAACACTTAAGTACACTTCATTATCTGTCATTTGTGTTTCGAAATGAATTGAAGTAGGTGTGGCAACATGAACACCAGTCTACTCACCAGTAAAGAAAAGCACAGATGATTCCAACAGTTGTTAATAGTTGAACCATAAGTGTCAGATACACTTTTCTTATGAAACCTACATGAAGCACATTTGAATACAAGAAACAGCATTTTTAGCATTGACCATTCCCATGTGCATGACATTGCTGATAGCTGACAGCTATTTAAAAGTACATAAGCTCTTGTATTATTAAAATTCGACTGTATGCCTAATATATACATATAAACATATTTCATTTGTGAAAATGTTTTAGTGATATTTCATGTATTTTTGCTGTGTAGTAAACACACACACATCAAGAAACATGACTATATTAGGTTTTAACACAGAAAAAACTTTACATAGACATTCTTTCTGACTGTAATAGCACAACCAAATGATTAAAGTCATTTCAAGAGAGCACAGCTGACCTCTTCTTATGGTAGCATCTGAAAAGCAGTTCTCATCTTCAAATCCAAGGGTGTATTCAGGGGGAGCGCTGTCTGGAATCCCTATATTGACATGTTCAACAACGGGGGGCATCATGCCAGCGGTGGGCTGCCCAATGTTGCCCTGCGTTGCATTAGGATATTGCGGAGGGTAATAGGGGTTGTATGGAGGGGGAGGCTGCTCTCTGTTCATATTATATCTCTCAACAAACCTAAATATAGGTATAGACACAATGTAGGAAATAAAGAGTAAATAGTACAAACTCTTAAAATGTTTTACGATAGACACAATCAACACAGACATATACTTTTTGTATGACAGCACATTTATCTTGAATAGCATAGTAATGACACATGTTTAAGATCTAAAATTCATTTAGGATGTCAAATTCTCTTTATGTTAAATCGTTAAAATTTTTATCTAATACACAAATGTTACATAACAATATTGTTAAATTTTGCTCAAATTAGAACCACCACTTACCGTTGGCACTCCTCTGCTTCCTGTTATGAGTTGTGTAGGGCAAAGTCTGTTCTCGATGAGTTTGTCTCCAGAGGGACAGGACTTTGCATAGCTTATCAAATCAATACACATTCATGAGAGCCAAGTTCATGTGGGATTTTTTTTTTTTTGTACATTTCACAATGAAATTAAAACTGACATAATATAAGTACCTCTAATGAGCGACTATGCGCCTCTAAAATAAAAAGTTAATGCTTTATTTCATTAGAGGACAACCTCTTTGTGGTGTGATTAATGGGATAGTATAAAATTCTCTAATTCTTTTGCCTACCATCAGTTTCATAAAAGCGCCAAGCTCCAAAAATGACAAAAGACATCATAAAAACATCACAAAAGTTGTTTTAAATCTGGGCCTATTTCATCACTCAAAGCTGTTGGTGTGCATTGATTCGGATGACTTGGAATATAGTGCGTTTTGTCTCATCTTTCACCTTTCACTGTATGGAAAAAATGTGACCATTCTGCTAAACTTTACCTCTAGTGTTCCACAGAAGAAAGAAAATCTTTGAAATAACAAGAAAGTGAGAAAACGATGAAAAAATTTTCATTTGGGGGGAAACTAGTACTTTATTATATATATATATATATATATATATATATATAGTAGCCATTGCTCCAGTCTTCAGTGTCACGTGATTCTTCAGAAATCATTCTAATATGCTGATTTGGTGATCTACAGTATAAAGATTCCTTACTATTATCAGTGTTAAAAAATTGCTGTTCTGCCTTTGTGTGTGTGTGTGTACATTTATTTCACAATTCTCTGATGCATAAAAAAGTTCAAAGAACAGCTAAACTTTTGTGACATTATAGATGTCACTTTTGGTCAGTTTAATTAATCCATGCTGAAATGTTTTTTTATTTTCTTAAAAAAAAAAAATAAAAAAAAAACTTACTGACCCCAAACGGTACTACAGTGTGTTTGTGTGTGTGTGTGTGTGTGTGTGTTGTGTGTGTTGAAATAACAAGAAAGTGAGAAAACGATGAAAAAATTTTCATTTGGGGGGAAACTAGTACTTTATTATACATATATATATATATATATATATATATATATATATATATAAACCTTTGATATTAATGTTAAAGCATTAATATATTTAATTTATTTTCATATTTTATTACATTTCTATGGGAAACTTGACTGACTACTTGAATTTGCATTGTCAGAAAGTTGCATTGCATATCCTGTAGATGGCGTTAAATATATTGACAACTAAATGTGCAGGTGTGCTACCTTAGTCATGAATAAAACACGTATACCCATAAGTTAAAATGAACTACAAGAAGAAGAAGAAAAAAACAAATCAAGAAAATTACTATTAATAATTCATTAGCTGCTTATTTGTATGTAAATATCCAAACACTGGCGGATCTTTGGTCCTGATTAATGAATAAGGGACTGTTCATGCCCACTGCTGCATGCGCAGCTTTGAAAAGGACAGTCAAAGCGTCTTAGAACTTTCCAAAGAAATAATTGTGTCATCTGTTACTCTTTTCCTGGCTTTTGAGTGTATTTTAATCTTTTAACAGTTTTAATCGTTTCAGCATTTGACTTGTATGGCGGGGTGCCACAAACTTATATTATATTCTTGCACGAGTCTAGTCTATATTCTTGCACGAGTTTCTTCGTGTTGTCATCTGTCTCAATTTAAAAGTCGACCTGGTTGTTTTGATGCACAACCATAGCAAGGCTACAGGCAAAACGTGAGAGGGGATGAGCAGAGGGAGGGCGAGAGAGAGAGGGAACAGAGGCGAGGATGGGAGGAGGGACGACAGAACGAGAGAGAACCGTTCAGCCACTGGCCTTCACCAGAGTGATTAATATTCAATGACCTGTGATCCAAACTCACGCAGGGGACGTCAAAACAACATTGGTTTAATCATCTCAAAGAAGGAAGCGCAGGGCGAAGTGAACTACTGCTCTTGCACTCGAAGTCAGCGCTTGCCAGTGGCGATTTTCAAACTTTTGCTTTGTTAATTTCCAAAGTCAGGATGGAACGGCGTCTTGTATCGTATGCAAATACGTCTGCTGACGTAGTTGATCATGTGGGTTTTGGCGTAGATCCCCCTGTGATCGCCAATTTTTTTCGGCTGTTGTCTTTAGAATTCGGCAGAATCGTTACAATCGTACGCTTCTGTGGGCTGTACACGTGGAAAAGTACGCAATTTCGGACTCCAGCTGTCAATAACCTCGCATCCCAGCGTTTTCCGTTGGTTGGTGGCAGGTAAGAATGGCTGAATTATTTGTGTCGGTTGGAAAATTGGCAAACAAGCCTTAAAGTTGCGGGCGTGTTTGAATGCACACAATAAGTAGTAGCCTGAAACGTGCTGTAAAGTGCTTCTGATGTCAGTTGTTTATTTCAACTGAACTTTGTTTGCCCAAGGCATATTGTAGAAAGTGAGCACCAGAATAACCGCATCGACCTGACCCGATAACCTCAGTTTTAACGTTTCCAGCGCTGTGATTTGGTGTGGCTTGCGGAAAGTTTCATAGAATGGTTAAAGTTAATAGGCAATGGGCGCGAGAACATGTCTACTTCTCTGATGTCGAAATAAGCAGCAAAATATGGCTACCAATGTCGACATGGCGTTACGTCGGTCCAAGTGATTTCTATTGGAGTCTGTTTTGCCGCAATAAACCCCTCTTTTCCGTTGTACGCCACGATCGGGAATCTATTTCGAACTAAGAATGATTACTTCATGCACTTGTATGAAGTGAGCATGGCACGCAACTACTTTGATTTCGGCCTGGTGTAGTATGATGTAGGCAGTGGTGACGCCTTCCACGACCATACTGCATGCATCAGGCGCGAGCCACATTGCAGCACTATTCACATCTGCGATAGTTCCCAAAATTGTTGCATCCATACTACTAGAGACTCACAGCACCCTATATAGTGCAAATTAATTTCTTAAGCTGAATATACGACTCAGTAAGTGCCGAAATGAGTTGTTCAAAATTCTTAATATAGCATACAGTTAATGCATCGTAAATCATCTCGGCGAATATTTCTAGGACACTTCAGGTGATTCAAGTGTATCAAACTAACGGCCCACGCGTGATATTTGCTTCAGTGTCCAGTCACATGTCATTACAAATGCTTTCCCAAGGTATGTACAGAGTACAGACCGAATCTCCCATCTGTCAGAAATCCTGGACTGTTTACTTATGATTGGCAGGTCTTTCTTACTTTTTCATGTAGTCTGATGTTGCTGGAAAATCACTTGTAAAATATTCCTCCAATATGTTTTAGTGGATGTAAAAAAGGTTTAGCAGTTTTGTAGGATCAGAGGATTTTCTTGTTTAAATAAAGTCATACATGGCAATAAAGCTCTTACTGAATCTGATTCAAATCAAAGAGAGGCATCTGTATCTTTAGATATTGCAGCAACTTCAGTGGTGACTCCTAAACCATCATATGTGAATAGTTTTTCTTAAAATAATCATATATCTTCTCCCTTGGAATCTCATATTACTCAGTGTAAAATACTCTGTTTGTGTTCTTACCACATGCTCCATCATATCATGATGGACTGTAAAATCTGAGGTTTAGTTTACAGTATAAGGCTAAATGAGAGAAAATCACTTTGGTTGCTCTTGATTATTGACTTTATAGTAATTTATTTAGGATTATCAATTAGTACCATATTTTATTATGTTGTTTACTAATCTAAGTAGATAACTGATCTTTAAAAATTGGCTTAGAACTAAACAGAATATTGTTAACATACTATAAAGAAGCAGCTATTCTCATGTGTTTGAAGTCTCATTGTGGTCACTGAAGGGCATTCGGATGCAATTTCATCGAAGTTTATTCTGTAATTATGGCATTTTAAAATAACTAAACATTCTCGCTCCTCCTGACACAAATACACTTGCCAACCTTGTGGGTCGTAGTATGGAAACATCTCTTATTACAAAGGTTTATTCATGGAACCAAGACTGAGGCAACTTTTACAAAGTAGTGACGCATATTGTCAAAAGTACAACTCTGCATGAGTCGCTCTGGCACAAAATGCAGTTTGTGCCAGGTGACTGGCTGGATTCAAAATGGCTGCCCGCGTTCGTGAGGAGCTGACGTCTTTGAGGAGGTGGTTGCTGCTGCCTCTGCCTCGTAGCTCGTGCTGTCGGTGACTAAGCCGACAGTCGCTGATGTCACAGCCGTGGGCTGGGCTCCCTTGAAAGCTGTGTGTTCTCTGTCGGTGCTGGTGGTCATGACTCCACTGAAAGTAGAGCCTCTTTGTGAGGGAGTCTGGCTTCACATTGGAGCCAGGTTATTTATTAGTCACAACTGACGTGTGTTACCAGCTGAAGTAGCAGTTGAAGGTGGAATACTATCTTGTTCTGTTTTCTTACTGCATACAACAGATCATGATTCATCACTATTCATGACCATATTCATGTCATATCTTACCATCATTCTTGTATATGATTATTATATATATTAATGCATTTGAGCGGCAGTGAAAGCAGCTGGGCTCTTATACAGATGGGCCTCATCATAATAGATTCTTACTTGAACTAAAGAAAATAAAACAATCAGTTTGAGATGGCTATTTTCTTAAAGGGAAAAAAAGCGTTAAACTTTTTTGCAGTCGCTCGCTGTTTAGCAGTCTCTCTGTTGCCAATATTCTGTCCTTCTTTTGCAGTCGTGATCCAGCTTTTTTGGATGTGTAATGGAGAGACTGCATATAACTATAATTCCTAACAAATGACACAGAAGTTTATTCCTTTGCCTGAGCAGGTGGTGTTTGATTTAAGCGGCTACATTTTAAAGCCTGTAGATCCTCAGGTGACTTGAACTACATTCACTTTGTGTCTGAGCTGCTGTATAATTTTTAGAGAAGCTAAACTGTTATAGCAAATGTGAAAGATGGTGTTGATCCATCAGGGATATGAAATAAAATGATTTAGGCCTAAAGATGTTGAGTTTATGCTTGAGTTACTGTCTTATCACTGCCCTGGCCTGAACTTACAGTATGGAAAAAAGAAAATAAGGGTTTGCAG